GTGCACAAATTTTTGTACACCGGGCCTCTAGTCCTATTTGATAAAAGCCCATCAACCGAATGGCTGAAAAACCGGAATGACTGGTGGACCAGTCTCTATGATGAGTATTGACCACCACGGGGCAGATGCTCAATGCAGGAGCTGCCCCCTGGTGGTCAGTGCACTACCATAGTGGGAGCATCACTTGGCTGACAGGGATGACACGCCGTCCTAGAGTGGGCAGATCCCCACAGGTCACGTCCCCCCACCAGTGCACAAATCCCATGCACCAGGTCTCTAGTATTGATATAAGAAAGGTCTGAACATGTAGATAATTTTAATGATTTCCATTGAGCCAAAGTGAGGACAGTTGATGGGAAGCAAAAGAATAACGAATTGAGAAAATGCTCTGAGACTATAAGTGTTGCATCTTATTTTATACATTAAAATCAAAGAAGACATAAGGGGGTTACATGAAATCCATTGATGATAGATTAGGGAGGTGGAAGAAAGCAAACTGGGGAAAGCAAATCTTGGGGAAATCTCTTTTTGGGTAAAAAGTAAAATGAATAGACACATAGTTGTTTTAAATAGGTGTGTACACAAACAACACAGTAACAGTAACAATGAGGGTTTCTGTGATCTGCTCTGGTGGGAGATTGTGCCCTGAAGGATCTGGAAAAAAGCAAATTACCCTGACATTTCAAAGGTGTTATTCTAGATGCAAAAAGACAATGGACAGGCTCAGTTAAGGTAAAGATTGACCTGTGTTAAGGAAGATACTGGTGTAGGATATGACTTACTAGCCATGACTGGCTTTTGGTTAGAAAGTTTTAATTTCATACCATCCTATGTTGTTACTGTTAGCCTCTTGGTTTGTAAGGCCCCCCCATGCAGGCCTCCCCTGAGCTTTTCAAGTTTAGTATGTGGCCCCTTTTCTACCACACTATGAGGAGGAGAATATTCAATGACTGGTACATTTTCTCTGAGACCTCATGCTACTGTGTTCCTAATCACAATGCCCACACTATTGTTGGTGTCTCTTTATTTGGTCTCCCACAAGTATTTATTCTTCAGGACAATAAAGCTTTAGGTTCTAAAAGTGGTAAACGTATTCCTTTATTCCAGGGAGCTTAAGTGGAATGCTTGCAAAAAAAAAAAAAGATGAGGGAAATGACATTGTAAGGGCAAAATAATTTTTCCTTCTCTTCTAGGTTCGTTGGCTGGTCTAATAATTCAATTGATATGACAGATTAACAGGGGGAAATAATTAAAAAAAGTTTAATAACATGTAAACCTTTTGCATACATGGAAGTGACCCACAAACATTTCAAAGAGAGAGATTAAAATTTCTCAATGTGCAGACCAAAATGTCACAATGACCCAGTTCTGTCTTTGCAGGGCAAAAGGTGCCACAGAGGGTATATGGCAAACGGGCGTTGCTGCTTTGGTAACTGGGTCTGTAGTTAGTGAACTAGTGAATTACTTGTTAGAAAACAGGATTGGCCCTGGCCGGTTTGGCTCAGTGGATAGAGCATTGGCCTGCAGACTGAAGGGTCCTAGGTTCGATTCCGGTCAATGGCATGTACCTTGGTTGCGGGCACATCCCCAGTATGGGGTGTGCAGGAGGCAGCTGAATCGATGTTTCTCTCTCATGGATGTTTCTAACTCTCTATCCCTTTCCCTTCCTCTCTGTAAAAAATCAATAAAATATAAATAAACAAAAAGACACATGCCTAGGTTGCTGGCTCCATCCGCGGTAAGGAGCATGCAGGAGGCAGCCGATCAATGATTCTCCCTCATCATTGATGTTTCTATCTTTCTCTCCCTCTTCCTTCCTCTCTAAAATCAATAAAAATAGATTTTAAAAAGAAGAAAAAAAACAACAAAGAAAAAAAAAAAACAGCAGCCCCGGTCCTAACCTTAAAGAAACACTAGGGGCCCTGCGCGTCCAAAACTTCTCCCTCATCAGCCTCCCGGGATCCCAGACGCGGAACACAACGCCTTACGCATCCGGAACCGGGCCGGACGCTCCCATGCAGGGACCAGCACCGGCTCCGATACCGAGCCGGGCGTTAAATCCCCAACCTGAACCCGACACCGCGATCATCCTAAACGCCTCCGGATTCCTGATAAGTGAGGTCCTGCAGGGAACCCCCCGCAGGACACGGAGTTAACGTCCACAGACTATTAACCGGGCAGCGACCCCCAGGATACCCCGACCGCAGACACCCGCCTCTGGCGTCCAATCGCGTGGCCATCTGGCTCCCCTCAGCTGCCTCCGCCCGGGCACTTCGCCCTCCCCCTCCGACCCCAGCGACAATTCCATTCTTCACACACCACGCCCACACGCCACCCTGTGAGAAACAAAACTTCGACAAAAACGAAAACACTTCCAGGCACAAAACCACACACTCACCTGAATGTTCCCCCCCAAGACCCACCGGGGCCGCGCCAACGCTTTTTGTTTCCGCAAACGGCTTCGCCTGCAGCCCTGCTCCCAGTCCGGCTACGGCGGCCTAGGAAGGAGGCGTTGGAAGGAACGTAGACAACCACTTCCGGTTTCCGTGGGCAATATGGCCGCGCTCACATCGCGGCTGCGCCGTGGGGGCCGCCATGTTGGGACTCCTGACTGCCGTACAGAAGGCAGGGCCGCGCTGTGGGACCGGGAGCGAGGATTGGCAGGAACATGGAAAGAAAGGTACTGAAATGACCCCGTGTTCTGGCACTTCCACTCTGGTGAGAAACGGGTCCGTTTCCAGAGCTTCGCGATGCAAACACGGTGCGACCGGAGTTGCCCTCAGAGGGCTGCACCCGGGAGCACATGCTCCACTAGAAACACGTTTCCAAAGGAACAATTAGGAATTCAGACGTCACTGTCTCAGCTGAAGAGGCGCTGCGAGTGAAGTATGGTGGTCCCTCCTTTGGAAAACAGCTGTTTGAACTACTGTTATTTTTTAAAAAATGTATTTTATTGCCCTAGCTGGTTTGGCTCAGTAGATAGAGCGACGGCCTGCGGCCTCAAGGGTCCCAGGTTCGATTCCGGTCAAGGGCATGTACGTTGGTTGCTGCACATCCCCAGTAGGGGGTGTGCAGGAGGCAGCTGATTGATGTTTCTAACTCTCTATCCCTCTCCCTTCCTCTCTGTAAAAAATCAATAAAATATGTTTTTAAAAAACCAATAAAATATATCTTTTTAAAAAATATATTTTATTGTTTTTTTACAGAGAGGAAGGGAGAGGGATAGCGAGTTAGAAACATCAATTAGAAAGAAACATCGATTCAGCTGCCTCCTGCACGCCCCCTACTGGGGATGTGCCGCAACCCAGGTACATGCCCTTGACCGGAATCGAACCCAGGACCGTTCAGTCCGCAAGCCGATGCTTTATCCACTGAGCCAAACCAGTTAGGGCTACTCTGTTATTTTCAGATAGTCTCTTAGTCTATAGCTGTTTTATAGCTTGAATAATAGAAAAGATAAACTTAACTGTCTGACCTTGCAAACTAGCCATCCAAAGGGGATGATACACTGATACTGATAATAATTCCCATCTTCATGACAAGTGTTTGTTCATCCAAGGTTACAGGTGTCTATATAGATATATGTACCCAAAGTTACAAGTTGTCTGAATAGGCATGACAGGTGTTTGTTAGATACGATATATACTCAAGGTTACAAGCTGTCTGCCAAAATAACTTACACAAAGAACTAGAAGGATATAAAATAGAAACACTCCCTCCTGTTGTTTGTTCAGAATTTGACAGAGGTCATCTGCTCTGAACCTGCACACAATCAAGATGACTCCTAATGAATGGGCTGATTAAGGTGTCTTGTCCAGCCGAAACCGGTTTAGCTCAGTGGATAGAGCATCGGCCTGCGGACTGAAGGGTCCCGGGTTCGATTCCGGTCAAGGGCATGTACCTGGGTTGTGGGCATTTCCCGGGCATGTACCTGGGTTGTGGGCACATCCCCAGTGGGGTTTGTGCAGGAGGCAGCTGATCGATGTTTCTCTCTCATCGATGTTTCTAACTCTCTATCTCTCTCCCTTCCTCTCTGTAAAAAATCAATAAAATATATTTTTTAAAAAAAAAGGTGCCTTGTCCAGCTCGCTGATTTGCAATACAACACTAGAAAGAAACAATGGAAGATAACACATCTGGTAAACAGATACCCATGGATAGTTCTTACCAGAATATAATTGGTCAGAGTGGTTGACCTGGGACCCTCAAGTCCGTAGGCCGATGCTCTATCCACTGAGCCAAACTGGTCAGGGCAATAAAAGTATATTTTAAAAAAATGAGTCGTGCATCAGGCCGTTGTTAAAAGGCATAATCCTGGACCCCAGTTCAGTACTGGGGTTTCTGGTTTAGGGGTGTGGGATCTGACTAGGGAATTTGCATTCATTTACTTTTCTGAAGCAGGAAGCCTATTGTAGAAAATCATTAGAAACAGCCCTGTATTGGACTTACCTGGTGATCATGTTGTACGTTATATACATGTCTAATCACTAATTTGTATACTTAAAATTAGTATAATGCTATATGTCAACTGTAAATGAAAAGAAGTTTTTTTAACATATATTTACTTATTTCAGAGAGGAAGGGAGAGTTGGAGCTGTAATCCAGGACTTAGGGTTTGCAAAAATGTCAAAGGGAGGTGTGCAGTCCAGAGGGTGTGGCTCAGATGGTTGAGCAACCAGGACATCTTAGGTTAGATTCCCAGTCAGGGCACATGCCCGGGCTGTGGGCTCAGTCCCCACTGGGGGGGATGTGCAAAAGGTAACTGATGGATGCTTCTCTCTCATCATTGATGTTTCTTCTCTCTCTCCCTCTCCCTGCCTCTCTGAAATCAATAAAAATAAAAAACAAATTTTTAAAAATGTAAAATATCTCATTAATACTTTTAAAATATTCATTACATATTGAAACAATATTTTGGAGGTTTAAAATCATTCATATCTCTATTCTTAAACTCTACTTGACATTTCTTTCTTTCTTTCTTTTTTTTTTTTTTGGTTAATGCTCACTCGAGGATATTTTTCCATTGATTTTTAAAGAGTGGGAGGAAAGGGGAGAGTCACACAGAGAGAAACATAAATGTGTGAGAGAGAAACATAATTCGGGTGCCCCACCCCCCACCCCCTGTATGCACCCAGATCAGGAATCCAACCCACAGCCTGCGTATGTGCCCTGACCAGGAATCAAACCTGGCCACCTTTTGGTTCATGGGATGACGCTCACCCAACTAAGCCACACTGGCCAGGGCGCTTTCTCCTTCTTTTAAGCAGTCGACTATGGAGTGACCTTGTAAAATACAATAATACTATTTTTTAAAAGGATCCCATGGTTGGATGTCACAGCATGTGAAATTAACATCAGTATTTCTAAGTTTAACATAAATGTTTCCTCTCAATTTTTGTGTTTCTTATTGCAGCCTGATAATAGCTGGCAGATCACACTCTGAGGAGCACTGGTACACCCTCGTGCTCCTGAAAATTTCCTGTGGGTCTGAACCACCCAGAGGCCGTGCAAACTCAGATGGCTGGTCCCCACCTGAAGAGACTTGATTCAGCAGGTCGGGGCCTGGGCCAAGAAGAGAAGTTGTACCTCCAGCAAGCTCCGGGGCACAGTGATGCTGCCAGCCTGCAGACCAGACTTTGGGCAGCATTGGCTTAGATTACACAGGAGAGGAATCTTAGACTGCACATGGGTGCTGAAAGAGCTGGGAGGGAATTCACCAAAACGCTCATGGAAGTTAGTGCTGCCTCAAGTACTTTACTTTCTTCTTTGGGGTTTTCTATAGTCCCAGATTTTTTTTTTTTAACATATATTTACTTATTTCAGAGAGGAAGGGAGAGGGAGATAGAAACATCAACGATGACAGGGAATCATTGATTGGCTGCCTCCTGCATGCCCCCCACTGGGGACCAAGCCCCCAACCCTGGCTATGCCCTGACTGGGAATCAAACCATGACCTCCTGGTTCATAGTTTGATGCTCAACCACTGAGCCAACGTTGGAACCTCAACCCAACCACCAGCCCAGGGTCCTGGGTGTCCAAAGCTTCAGTCTCATGAGACCCTTAGGACCACAGACACTGATCACACACCCGATTATTCCCAAAACTGAACCAGATGCCTTCATGTGATGACCACTCATGGCCCATCATCATTAAGCCCCATATTGAATCCTGACCCAGAACCTAACACTGCAATCATCCTAAATGGCACCTCCATCCATTAAAAACAGAGTGGCCCTCAAAGACCATGATAGTAGCGACACGGTCATTGATCTCTACAAACCCCGAATCACCTGATGACCCCAAATGTACCCCAACCACAGACAGGTGTATCACCTCCTTCCTTGCAAATACCTCGGTGCTCCTTTCACCTGACCCCCCATGGTAATTCCATAGGCCAGGTACACCACTTCCACCTTGTGACGTCATGTACCCTGTTAGAGACACACCTCATATGAGACAAAATTTTTCTAGAATTTTCAAAAACTGAGAACACATTGTTTAATGTGGTAAAATATACATACATTTTTACCATTTAAAAAATATATATTTTTATTGATGTCAGAGAGGAAGGGAGAGGGAAAAGAGATCGAAACATCAATGATGAGAGAGAATCATTCTCTGGCCACCTCCTGCATGCCCCCCACCAGGGATCGAGCCCACAATCTGGGCATGTGCCTGAATGGGAATTGAACTGTGACCTCCAGGCTCATATGTTGAAGCTCAACCACTGAACCACATCAACCAGGCAATAAAATATTTTTTTTTAAAAAGAGTGTCATAATATAAGCCAAACATAATTAAATTTTGTTTTATGAATACCCCACTTTTAAAAAGGTTTAGCCTGCCATGAAATATACACACACACACACACACACACACACACACATACTATATATATATATAGTGTGTATATATATATTTGCCATGTTTACATATATAAACATTTTATATGGAAATGTTAAAAAATTAAAATAAAATTAGATCATA